CTTTGCGCCGTGTTGATCCTCTGGCTAAGAGTTACATGTTGCGACTTTTGCGCGACTTTAGACATCGTCTTCGGGGAGCATTGTATACGATATGCAGTTATCAGGTGCTAAAAAGGCCCCCAAAAGTAAATTTGTATTTATGAATAGGAAATGGCGATTCCTAAACTGTTATCTTCATGTAATTTTCATAATCGACACCAGAATGTAAGAGAAACAAAAAACAACACAGTCGAACATAATTCTCTGATTTTCAACACATTTGTCACTATTCTTCGTCTTATAATTATATACTGATAAGATTCAATGCAAAGTTATGTTGTGAATTTGCGTTTTCTTCTTGATGTTTTGGAAGTCTGTCTTTTGGTGTTGTGTGTATTCCGTTGTGTCTTGTGTTGTGTCATCGGCGTGTGTGTGTGACCACATGTACCTGGCGCAGAAATCTAGGAGTTTGCCATCTGTGATGGGTGTTCTCTGTGCTGTGTGCTGTGTTTTGTGTTGTCTGATGTGTTCTGTGTTGTGTGCTGTGTGATGTGCTGTGTGATGTGCTGTGTTATGTGATATGTGTTGTGTTCTGTGTGCTGTGTTCTGTTATGTGTGCTGTGTTCCTGGCTGTGAGATGTGTTCTGTGTTGTGTGCTGTGTTGAGTGCTGTGTGATGTGCTGTGTGATGTGATATGTGTTGTGTTCTGTGTGCTGTGTTGTGTTCTGTGTGATGTGTTCTTGGCTGTGTGATGTGTACTGTGATGTGTTCTCTGCTGTGTTAAATGTACTGTGCTGCTTTCTGTGTGATGTGTGCTGCGTTCTGTATTCTGTTCTGTGTCCTGTTCTGTGTTCTGTGTCATTGTTCTGTGCTGTGTTATGTGTTCTGTGCTGTGTTCTGTGTTCTGTGCTGTGTGCTGTGTCTTGGCCGTGTGATGTGAGCTGTGATGTATTCTGTGATGTGTTCTCTGCTGTGTTATGTGTGATGTGTGCTGCGTTCTGAGCTGTGTGCTGTTCTGTGTTCTGTGTTCAGTGTTCTGTGCTGTGTTCTCTGTTCTGTGCTGCGCGATGTGTTCTGAGTTATGTGCTGTTCTGTGATCAGTATCATGTGCTGTGTTTTGTGCTGTGTGTCATGTTCTGGGCTGTGTTCTGTGTTCCATACTGTGTTCTGTGCTCTGTGCTGTGTGCTGTGTTCCGTGCTGTGTGTCCTATGTTGTTTTCTGTGTTCTGTGTGTTGTATCATGTGCTGTTTGCTGTGTAAAGTTATCTGCGTGCTCTGTGCTGTGTTCTGTGCTGTGTTCTGTCAAATGTTTATTTATATGCAGCAAGAAGCAATGCACGCCATGCGTATGCACCGTTCATGCATGTATATCATTTGACAACCAATTACAGTGGGGGAGGGGGGGGGGGGGGGGGGGGGGGGGATATAGGTTTACGTCTATAACGATAGTTATCCCTCTAATGTCTGCAGGAGACAATAATTTTTTTTTCTACATAAACGACGGTATGCTCACCAGCTACATACTTTTGATGAAAAAGACTTGCTATAGAAGCCACGTGACACTGTAATTTGTGATAGCGTGGAGCGCGCGAGGGTGCACGCGTCTTTTATAAGTCCTACAGTGTAGCATGAAATAAGACACAAGTAGAAATCCACTGCCCTTGTGGTCACTCTGTTTAATCTGTGCATCCATTTAACGGTCATGATGATTCCATGCATTTTGGTCAACATTGGAGTTGAAGTTAGCATTGTGATCTGGAATCGGAAAAGGATTGGGTCGCCTAGAGCGATTTCCTACATGGGAACAATGTGTGCAGCATTTTTTCTCGAGTCTCCGATGTGATTTTACTGGAAACTCACTCACTCACTCTCTCACACACTCACTCACTCACTCACTCACTCACTCACTCACCCACTCACTCACACACTCAGTTTACACAGTGCCGATTATGGCTCCCGTTTTACATGAGACAGAGCTACGACACGAAAAGTGGAAAGGTCGGATTACAATCTCAGTGATCTGATATGTCATATGATTGTCTGAACGCAGTCGTACACGTTCGTACCAAAGTCCTACGGATCGGGAAAGGTCCAGAGAGGTCGGCCAAGAACTCCCGACAGTATGGTGCGTCCCGTAACATTTGGGAAACTCAACCCATTTTGTCTAGTCGGATTGCGATCGTGACTCTGTCGTGACAGATTTTGCTCTATCGGAACAAAATCGTAACAATCCTGTGTTGGCTGGACAGTGTCCTTTGGATCGGGATGCTCTCGTGGTGAACAGGCATGATTTGGAGAAATTGTTCATTGCCGTTTCTTGTCGATTGAATCCTGATTGCGTCCAGATCTTGACGAATACGAACCGTCTTTGTCGGTTCACTGTCTTGTCACTGTCTGATCGCATTCGGGAGAATGGGGACGCTGTCGGGTCAGATTCGGACGCTTCCTGGACAATATCTGATTGTTGTCGTGATTAAATAAATGTACTTTACAAATTTGTGAACTTACCGCCACGAATCACAGGATCTAGATTAGGTTTTTGACAAATTTTAATCGGGAATAGTCCTATCAAGGACAGCCGTAACAATCCTGAATGTGTGACTAAGTCCTTAGCTTATACAAATAAACTTGCAGATTGCAACGCCATTGAAAAATAACAACAACAGTAACAACGTGATTACTCTTTTCTAGCACAACAGCTACAGCATACACACAATAATGATGCGATAGAATGTCATATGGTAATCAAGAGTTCACTAAACATCAATAATTTGTGAATGTAATCTTCATTACATTTCATACGAAATGCACAAAGGTGGAAATACGAACCATATCGTGTTATGATAACATATTCCATTTTCGGAGGAGATTTTACATTACATTGTATATACATTCATAAATAGTTATCATTAATTATCTTGAACAAACAAACATGTTACAGGTACATGTACATTAGACAAACGATATTTACTATTTCAGCAAAGCAATTATAACGCCATTATCCCTGTTTCAAAGTAAAGAAAAGCAAATCGAACTTTACAGTGTACTCAGTCCATGACTGTTTAACCTGTCAACTTTAGTTGTCATCAAGTTAAATTGATGTTTGTAGAGGTTGTATTATTTCTCTACCGCGTGTATCACTGGCAGAAACTGGGGCCGAGTTACCACCTGTGAAACCGACGTTGACACAATTTGTTTACATTATGGCGTCGACTCACATTTAGATGTTGTTGACACTTTTAAAATCTCCATTTGCGACAAAATGTGAAATGGTTTTGAAAACTCATTTACATGGTCACGAATTTGGATCCTTAACTCAAAACTTTTGGTAATTTCACATAAAACAACATCAACAGTATTTTTTGTCAAAACGGGCGTGCATGTATACGACAATTGTCTGCACAATAATCTGCACAGAGTTTTTGATTCAAGCGCCCGCCAAATCGCAAAGACACACATTCGATGAAATATGCTATACTTGAAAATAACTTCTCTTGCGGAGTAAACGTTAGTAGTCTTACGCCAATAACTCTACGGGAGGGAAAAGTAAATCTTTATGAGTAGTCTAATCAGATTTATTTTTCAGATTGGTTCCCTGACACTTAAACAGTTTCATGTATGTGACAAGGGTGCATAACAAAATTCGCCGTCAAACGCTTGAAGTTTAAACTAGACAGAAAAAGGTCGGACTCTCTTTACTAATCTCACAATATTTCGCCATCCGTGGCACTGTATAAAATGTCGGTCACACTATGTTAACGCTATAATGACGGTTATGATTTTGATTTTACGCACACAGTGTTTAATATCTGCACAGATGAAAAGGATCATTTCCATCTACGGTCCCGTGGCACCAAGTGAGTTAAACGCGTTACAGGACATGTCAACTTACGGGGAAAGAGTGAGTGAGTATGGTTCTATGCCGTTTATTATGTGCAGTATTCCAGGGTAGCACGTCGTAGGACATCAGAAATACGTTCAACGCTTTCTTCTCATGTGAGGTATCGAAGTTACATGCATGCCTTGGGCGAGACGAGCAAACGTTTTGACCACTTGGCTGGCCCCTCGCTGTAATGACGACCGCGCGAATCAGACTCGAAATGTCCTTTTTGGAAAAAAACCAACACCTCTTAGAATCTATACCGGGAGTGCACGCGTTGTAAGCCTCCTTGTTATTTATTCGAATATAAATAACAATATTAAAACGTGTTTATGCCCATTGGCTTAAATTAAATGGTAGAATGGATTGATCTCCCAAACCGGGAGATCTTCAAGAATTGTTGTAGCACGCTCCTATATGGCACATTTGACCAAATATTGCACCACAATTGTTAGAGGTTTCCATGTATACACGACACATTGGGCCCTTAATACAGATGATATTCTAGATTCTCAGTAGGACTGTTTTATCGCATGTGACAAACACTCATAATTGCGCTATTGGGTTGTTGTTACTTTTTCGACAGATGGCTAATTCACTCGTTGAAAAAAGAAAACAATTTCTTTGGTTAAAGTGTTGATCTCTCATTTCACTTGTGAGTATTGTTTCATTTCACATGTGACAGTCATTCTTCCTTTCATGCTTTGATCATCTGTGGTTCCTAAGCCCTGCCCTTAAATTTAGATATTGTGCTTCTCAGCTTAAATCTGCTAATTGTGATACGATAGCATGCAAGTAGCAGCCCTGTTGTTGACTACATGAGCACCCATATACACAAATGAGATACGATAGCATGCAAGAGGCAGCCCTGTTGTTGACAACATGAGCACCCATCTACACAACTGAGATACGATATCATGCATGAGGCAGCCCTGTTGTTGACAACATGAGCACCCATCTACACAACTGAGATACAATAGCATGCATGAGGCAGCCCTGTTGTTGACAACATGAGCACCAATCTACACAACTGAGATACGATAGCATGCAAGAAGCATCCACGACGGGTCTTTACACCAGCTTGTTAATTGTATGAAGGATTTAGGAGTGGGCTTTCTGCCTGCTGGGTTTCCCCACCTACCTTCTGTGTAGTCACTGGGAGACGTTGAGCCATCTCGCGTCGTTTCGCAGCACACGAGGCTGAAACACAGACTATGCTGTTCAGAAAACTATATAAACCACACAATCATTACACATAAAAGTTATGGCCGTTCGACAAATGTTATGCATCTAAATATTTTCAAAAATTAAAACAATTGTAAATATGTTTTTTGTAGTATAAATATCATGTGATTGAGTGATTGGCAAATCAATGAAGCAACTATCGCTTATTGCTTATGGGGCTTGCTATGCTAACCATCAACAGTCGGCACACCTCAAAGTCTGTACAGATATCGCTTATGGAGCTTGCTATGCTAACTATCAATAATCGGCGCACCTCAAAGTCTGTACAGATATCGCTTATGGAGCTTGCTATGCTAACTATCAACAATCGGCACACCTCAAAGTCTGTACAGATATCGCTTATGGAGCTTGTTGTGCTAACCATCAACAGTCGGCGCCCCTCAAAGTCTGTACAGATATCACTTATGGAGCTTGCTATGCTAACTATCAATAATCGGCGCACCTCAAAGTCTGTACAGTTATCGCTTATGGAGGTTGCTATGCTAACTATCAACAGTCGGCGCATCTCAGAGTCTGTACAGATGTCGCTTATGGAGCTTGCTATGCTAACCATCAACAGTCGGCGCCCCTCAAAGTCTGTACAGATATCGCTTATGGAGGTTGCTATGCTAACTATCAACAATCGGCGCATCTCAGAGTCTGTACAGATATCGCTTATGGAGGTTGCTATGCTAACTATCAACAATCGGCGCATCTCAGAGTCTGTTCAGATATCGCTTATGGAGCTTGCTATGCTAACCATCAACAGTCGGCGCACCTCAAAGTCTGTACAGATATCGCTTATGGAGGTTGCTATGCTAACCATCAACAGTCGGCGCCCCTCAAAGTCTGTACAGATATCACTTATGGAGCTTGCTATGCCAACTATCAATAATCGGCGCACCTCAAAGTCTGTACAGATATCGCTTATGGCGGTTGCTATGCTAACTATCAACAATCGGCGCATCTCAGAGTCTGTACAGATATCGCTTATGGAGCTTGCTATGCTAACCATCAACAGTCGGCGCATCTCAGAGTCTGTACAGATATCGCTTATGGAGCTTGCTATGCTAACTATCAATAGTCGGCGCATCTCAGAGTCTGTACAGATATCGCTTATGGAGCTTGCTATGCTAACCATCAACAGTCGGCGCCCCTCAAAGTCTGTACAGATATCGCTTATGGAGCTTGTTATGCTAACCATCAACAGTCGGCGCATCTCAAAGTCTCTACAGATATCGCTTATGGAGCTTGCTATGCTAACCATCAACAGTCGGCGCATCTCAAAGTCTGTACAGATATCGCTTATGGAGCTTGCTATGCTAACTATCAACAATCGGCGCACCTCACGTTTGTACATTCACGATTCACGTGGAAAGGGAGAACTAACAATCTTGGAATGGTGACTCAAAATACCAAACATATCAACATGATGAGTGACAAGTTCATCAGTTCTTTCTAATTAACCTACATAGACATAAAATATATTTGGACAAATTTCTTATATCTTTTAACCTATTAGGTGATACAGTTCTGCAGTGTTTAAAAATATTTGACCACGTGTAGTATTGTTTGGAATATACGGAGTTCTTATGTTAGAGAAGAGAATCGCATCTGAAAAGAAAGTGAATCACTGACTTGACAAAGTCGTTCTTCTCTTGGTATATTCTGCCATCGGCCAGTCTCAACGGGCAAGTTATGATTTGAAGTATTAGGGAGTAACAGATAATTTACTTACTTTTAGTGTTTATAGTATATACCCTTTGGACTCGACTCCATACTTTCCCTCGACTTTTGTATAAACGGATCCTTAAGTGTCTTTTCGACAGTTGAAACTAGCAAAATGGTATTGCGTATGTACGGTTTATGTAACACTTCAGTGAGTCCAACATAGTTTAGTATGTAATGTAGCGATACAAATAATGTGATATTGTATGCATGCAATTTTGGCAACTCAGTTTGTGTCAGTAGGTTATCATACTTTTAAACAGTTTAATATAAATTAGCCAAGTTCTCAACATACCATAGAATTTCGCGTTTAATTTCTTAATCGGGCTGCAAGTTTCAACAATTTTAAGGGTATTTTTTCTATAACTTCTAATTTTCAAAACCCCATTCATCTGAACAATATAAACATTTCGGAACAGCCATTATATCAAAAGCAATTAGAAGACAATCGTGTGGTAGGTTTATATTTCTGGCACTTTTTAAAAAACAGGTCATCACTTTCGCTGCGTTTTCAATCAGAGCTTTATTTCTCACAACAATTTATTTTTCAATGGAATATTATTCCTCGGTTGGTACGGGTATCTTCTTTTTTTCTAGGGGTCCTTTACTTATAAAAAATATTACTTTTGATGATTTAGCTTGTTCACCTAAAAGAATTTAAACCTTGGTTTTAGATACACACACTCCAAAAAAAGAAAGGCACAGGTAGTATTTAGTTCATTGAATCTGACTACACAAAAAATATGGCATATACATATGATATATGTTCATTCGAAAATATTGGTGGCCTGATATTCGATAAACGGTGTGTCAAAACAAAGCCATTGTCGATTTGCAATATTTTAAACAGCATTGTTTTCACACTTTTTCAACAATGTCATGGAGGAAAACAATAAAGCAAAATGCATTTGCATGCGATGGCATTCGTAACTCGTGGTAGTGGCTATCAAAAGGCAAGCAAAATAATTTGTCATTCAATTGTCACCAGAGGGGGGGGGGGGGGGGGGGGGGGGGGGGGGGCACCATTCGTCGCCTTTGTGACCGATTCACACAGTTCAATTCCTTTGCAGACCATCCGACTGATATCCAACACCACAAGGTCTGACTTGGTTGTGGTTCAGGGAATTTTGAAAGCAAATCGCTACATGAATCAAATTCTTCAACCTCACCTTCTTCTAATCATTGGCCACCAGAGGGAGCTGTTTCAGCAGAACAACGCTCCACCGCACACATCTTGTGTCACTTCCTACATAATGCCAACATCAACAGCCTGGCCTGGCTCCAGATCTGAACCCAATCGAACACCTCTGGGATGAACTCGATTGACGTGTACGTCAACGTCAGAACACGCCTCAGACTCTCTCACAACTAGCCAACACATTGTTTTTTAATGATGACCTATTTGGAAAATGTAAACATAAATGGATTACATATATATATAACGAACTTTTGATGAACTTGGACTTAGCTACATTTGGTTTTCACAAACTTTCAAAAAATCCCTCATACCTAAAACATCTACTCCATAAAACAATAAATGACATTAACCTGCAGTGTTGGACCAGTGCACGGGATAAGTCTTCAAAAGGCACAATGGATAGTATCAACAAAAATGATTGCCTAAATTTTGAATATTATTTAAACGTACTGCAGGAAAACGCTTGGCGAGTCTTACTTAAGTTTAGAACTTGTGGTCATAATCTACCTATTGAAACTGGGAGATAGAGAAAAATACCTTTAACCGAGAGGAAATGACAGCTTTGCACATTATCTGACATAGATGATGAATTTCATTATTAGTATATTTGTCCATCTTCAGAAAACGAAAGAAAACACTTTTTACACAGATTCTACTACATTTAACCCAATATGAATAAAATGAATTTACTTTTCAATAATTCACGACTAGAAACATTGAGGAAACTGTCAAAATTCTGTAAAATCATCATGTCATTGTTTAAACCTATCAAGTAACTCTCCCTCTTTTTGAATTGCACATATATTGCTGCCATAGTAAATCTGTATTAATATGAATGCATGCTCGGCCAAGATGTTTTTGTATGTATTCTATATCTATATGTATACGTATTATGTTGTTGAAATTATGTTGTACTTCTGATGCCGCTGATAGCGGCCTGAGCGTTAACAAAGCTCAGTTCAGTTCAGTTTAGTTACAAGCAGAATGGCGCAGTATTCCACATGACAGAATTCGTACACTTATCCAGGAGTGCCGAGGAGATGCAGAGCTGTGATTACTGCCCGGAGCGGTCACACGAGATACTGAGTTCAGCGTAACCTTGTGGCCTTATTTGATATGACAATGAACAGTTTTCGATGCCTTTGTACAGCGACAACATGTGACTATCAAACTCCAAAATTTAATATCTGTATCTATGATATTAAATTAAATATATCGACTTTATTAGGTACATTGAATTTCCTAAAAATCTACTTGTACTTTTCTTTGTTTGAAGAGTGTATGTTAATGGAAATTAATCAGGCAACACCTATTTCATAGACCTATAATTCTGTGAATTAAGAGAACAGAATGTTACTGATTAATCCTTGTGACATATAGCATCTTGCTGTATAGCAGGACTTTTTTGGAGATATGTACTGCACGTGCAACCAAAACATTTTTTAAATCAAGTTTGGAATCATGACATGTCACACTCTCTCCTTTCAGTTTGTATTGCGTGTTCAGTACCCTAATTGTCTTGGCACGTCGTAAATTGTCAGAGGCTACAAGGTGTAAAATTATTGGCATGCATTATTGCTGGTAAGTAATACACCCACCATTGACATTTGAGCATTAATATAACAGTCTGAATAAACACATACACGAAATGGATACGTACAGTGTTTTCCCCGAGTCTCCGGAGGCGGCCATTTTAATCTTAATTTAGAACACGACACTGGTGCCACCTAAAAAAATACTGTACCGTATTTGTGCTAAAAGTGATGAAAATACATTGCTCTGCTTCAGTTCCACAAGCATGCTCAGTTTACCGCTAATAGTATACGAATTACTTTATCTGGGATTTCCAAATGTGATTGGCTGTGTTGACGGCACACAGATTAAAATCCAAATGCCAAAGGTCAACGAGGCTGACTTTGTCAACAGAAAGGGATTTCATTCTCTGAATGTTCAGGCAATTGAGATAAAAAATGTATTTTTGTAAATTGAATATTTTCCATAAACATTGAAGTCAAACATCTCCTGTAAACATATGTATGAATGATACTAGAGTACAAGTCAGATTATGACATTTATGATTAACTGAATATAAAACAAGGTGCATGTCCACAATGAAAAATAATATATTGATACACAAATAAATACAGAGCTGTCAAATGTATGGGTCTGTAATTCTTAGCATCCGCAATATTAATTAGACAATACCCAAATAGTATGTTTTAGTTAATTTGATACAAAATCCGCACCTGTAAATTGGTGTATATACATGTACTGCCTGTGATTTCATTAAAAGAACTTGTTTTTGCTTCAGGCTGTTGAAACACATAATAAATGTTGAAAGATGTTTTAAAACTGACAAATAAGATGATTTTTTCATAATCCCACCAATCATTCATGTCATCAAACATTGTTCGTAATCCAGATTGTAAATTACTTTTATGTGGATGGTTTGGTGAACATAGCGGGGAATAAAGCAGCAGGGCCATCACCATAAATCAATCTGTGAGTCTGGAAGCTTCTGACTCCTGTGACGGAACAGACGACGGAGCTTTGCATAATAGATGACCGCAAAATATCGTTTCGTCGACCATAAGAACAGTATATATCTTTGCAAGGGTAGGACGTGGATACAAATTTTGCAAGCCAAGATAACTCAAACCTTCGATCTATCAATTTGCAGTATCTTTAGGATGCTTGAAATGTGCTTCTGCTGTCGGGTCCGCTGACATCCGTCCAGCTTTCCAAGCAGAATACCCTCCCTCCTCCAACACAAGCATCTCTTCTTCCTTCGTCCAATTTACCTTACGTTTTTTGTCATCCATGTTTGCAAGCTACCGCAGACAACATGCCACACGCGACACGCTACACGCGCCAGTTCACACTCAGGCGCAGTGGTGAATCAGCAAAACTAATTTGCATATCACATGATCGGACTTTTCTCTTGTTTGTAAACAAACGCGCTTTTTCATAAATCGTTATAAAACGGACTTATGCAAGTATTTGGGGGCGCTTTACATATTGTTTTGCATAAGTATATATATATGGTACTACAACTGCGACAGTGAGTTGCATGACAATATATATTTATCTATCAAAGTGACTGTATCACAGCTCTCCGTTGGACTTCGATGACAGCACGTGGAGCCGTACAACCAATGTAAACAAAGAAAATACTACGCCAAAACAAGTAGATTTTCACATATTAGCATACTTTCTCAATGAACCATAACCATTCTTTGACATTTGGATCTAAAAAAGGTGTAGACTTGTCAAACATGAAACGGATGAAAAGCATATGCAACATCTTGAATGGGCTGTGAAAGATGTGACGAATCGTCTCATGGCACTGGCCTGTGGAAGAGGTGGCCTCAGACCACAATTAATTTCCTTCTTTGCTATCTGCAGTGACATGACAGCCCACCATAAGTATTATCAGTCGTAGGCTGTTCTCCTGTTGCATGCTGTTGCATGTTTCGGCCAGCATCCACCAGCTTGCTCTTGCAGTAACAACTGTCAACAATGTTCCAGGGAGCTGTGGTCTGAGGCCAGGGACCATGCTGGCTGGCTCCCGGCCGCATGGAACTCTGGGTAGGAGAGTGGCGACAGCTGGGTTTAAAAACAACCCGAATTTCCCATCTCCCTTCTCTTAAGAGTTCCGATGATTACCGTCGTGCGGTTAACGTACGCGTGTCCCTATGACGCCGGTTTAGACTTAGACTTAGCTACGAATTTGCTGAGACCGTCTCAAGATCCAGTCTTTAACTGAATCTTAGCTAAGCAAAATCTTAAAAACTTAAGACAAAATTCGTGCTTAGCAAAAAACTTTCGTGATCTCGGGGCCAGTTCTCCAGACAGTCTCAAGTGCTTTTGTGCAGTCTGCAAAAGGCACAGAAGATTTTTTTCTTTTGACCAATGATTGACAAAAACGTTATCTGTAGTTGAAAACTTCCTGTGTAGACATGCCCTGTAAACCCTATGTCCACATGCCCAGTAAACCCTATGTTGCCATGCCCTCTAAGCCCTATGTCCACACGCCCAGTTAACCCTATGTTGCCATGCCCTCTAAGCCCCATGTCCACACGCCCAGTAAACTCTATGTTGGCATGCCCTCGAAGCCATATGTCCACATGCCCAGTAAACTCTATGTTGACATGCCAAGTAAACCCTATGTTGACATGCCCTCTAAGCCCTATGCCCACACGCGCAGTAAACCCTATGTTGACATGCCAAGTAAACCATCTGTTGACATGCCAAGTAAACCCTATGTTGACATGCCCTCTAAGCCCTATGTTGTCATGCCAAGTAAACCCAATGTTAACATGCCAAATAAAGCCTATGTTGACATACCAAGTGTAGCCTATGTGGACATGCCCAGTAAACCCTTTGTTGACCTGCTCTTTAAACCCAACGTAAACATGCCCTGTTAGCCTTATGTTGCCATGCTGTGTAAGCCCTATGTTGCCATGCTGTGTAAGCCCTATGTTGCCATGCTGTGTAAGCCTTATGTTGCCATGCTGTGTAAGCCCTATGTTGCCATGCTGTGTAAGCCCTATGTTGCCATGCTGTGTAAGCCTTATGTTGCCATGCCCTGTAAGACCTATGTTGCCATGCCCTGTTAGCCTTATGTTGCCATGCTGTGTAAGCCTTATGTTGCCATGCTGTGTAAGCCTTATGTTGCCATGCTGTGTAAGCCCTATGTTGCCATGCTGTGTAATCCCTATGTTGCCATGCTGTGTAAGCCTTATGTTGCCATGCTGTGTAAGCCCTATGTTGCCATGCTGTGTAAGCCTTATGTTGCCATGCTGTGTAAGCCTTATGTTGCCATGCTGTGTAATCCCTATGTTGCCATGATGTGTACGCCCTATGTTGCCATACTGTGTAAGCCCTATGTTACCATGCTGTGTAAGCCCTATGTTGCAATGCTGTGTAAGCCCTATGTTGCCATGCTGTGTAAGCCTTATGTTGCCATGCTGTATAAGCCCTATGTTGCTATGCTATGTAAGCCTTATGTTGCCATGCTGTGTGAGCCTTATGTTGCCATGCCCTGTTATCCTTATGTTGCCATGCTGTGTAAGTACTATGTTGACATGCTGTGTAAGCCTTATGTTGCCATGCTATGTAAGCCTTATGTTGCCATGCGGTGTAAGCCCTATGTTGCCATGCTGTGTAAGCCCTATGTTGCCATGCTGTGTAAGCCCTATGTTGCCATGCTGTGTAAGCCCTATGTTGCTATGCTGTGTAAGCCCTATGTTTTGCGATGCTGTGTAAGCCCTATGTTGCCATGCTGTGTAAGCCCTATGTTGCTATGCTGTGTAAGCCCTTTGTTGCCATGCTGTGTAAGCCCTATGTTGCTATGCTGTGTAAGCCCTATGTTGCTATGCTGTGTAAGCCTTATGTTGCCATGCTGTGTAAGCCCTATATTGCCATGCTGTGTAAGCCCTATGTTGCCATGCCCTGTAAGACCTATGTTGCCATGCTGTGTAAGCCATATGTTGCCATGCTGTGTAAGCCATATGTTGCCATGCTGTGTAAGCCCTATGTTGCCATGCTGTGTAAGCCCTATGTTGACACACTAAACCCATGTCGAAATGCTCTGCATGCTGTATGTTGTCATTTTAAATGCTAAATATAACTTTGAAATAAGCTTAATTTACTGTCTTCCCATTACAACACAGAAGGTTTAGACACATTTCTAAAGGCAGAGGAAGGCATTGCCTTTGTATGTATTCAATACATTGTTTGAAATTCCAGGCATACATTTATGTTCTATTCCAAGGGAATAATAGATATCAAACAGCTTTAGCATGGAATGTTAACAGAGTCGATTGTTAATTAACCGTTTCCATAATCAAAAGAAATATCGGGTAAAAGTCTCACCTGCAGCACCAGGAAACGGAGAAGGCGATTGTCAATGACACCTGCGAGAATGAAGATGTAGCCAGCGACGTTTCAATAACGTCGCTCTCTTTTATATCTTCTCTCACTACACAGCTGGTATTCAGTGTCATCATGTCCTCTGTAAGACCAGTGATTCTTTTACTTTGAAGCATGTAAATCCTCAATCGTCTTATTTAGTAAAATGTTCAAACTCAGAATGTCAGTACCTAACTTAGCTGCATTTCCTACTTCTGTCTCTACTCTCATCACACAGCTTGTATTCGGTGTCATCAAATCCTCCCTAAGAGTGAGTGAGTATGGTTTTATGCCGCTTTTAGCAATATTCCAGCAATATCACAGCGGGGGATACCAGAAATGGCCTTCACACATTGTATCCATGTCGGGAATCAAACTGGGGTCTTTGGCGTGACGAGCAAAAAGCTTTAGCCACTAGGCTACCCGACCGCCCCCTTCCTTTAGAGCAGCATTATCTTTGCATCACGAAGAACAGCAGCCGTCTCATTCAGCTGCAGTTGTAAACTATGGATGTCTTTGGTCTGCTGGCAACGTAATTTTCAAGACTCGCTTTGCAAGTGTCTCCTTCCCTTTCAACATGTCTGAACTGTCATGCCACTGAGCGAAGTTGTGTCTTTGTGTTATGAATACCAGCTTTCATGCTGTTAACTACATCTAGAACATGTCCGCTGATACTATTCCCAAAATAGTCTTCTAATAGAATGTCAGAAAATGCTTGTTTCACTTGCTTTATCAAGGCGGGAATGAACGTGTAAGCTAGTTCTTTTTTCAGTGATAACAAACACACGTTAAAGTCTTGATATTAACAAGTATCCTTTCCCTGCTTTGATATATGTGGCCAGGATGTGGCCAAACTGGTGTCAGCATGAACGTCACTGACACCACACAACAACACAAGACTGAGAAATATAACTCTTTTCGTTTCCATTGCTCACAGTTACCGTGGAGGTCGGCCCGACTCAAGTGTTTGGCAAAAGGCCAGCTGGGGCAAACGGGTATGCATGTTGCGCCACAATAGAAAACAGGATGGATCACTTTTTTCAGAATATTGTCTTTGATACAAAGAACGCAGTAATAGTCAAAGGTATTATCACCATTTAGTAACTTTAATATATACTCTTCAAAAAAAGAAACGCAAAGCCAGATTTGTGTGGGGTTGGAAAATACATTTATCCGAGCTTTCAAGGTGTTGAGCCAAAATGTTGTGGAGAGAACACTTAGTGATTGTAGTCAGCTCAGTTATCGGTACATAGAAAAAGTCCAAGGTGAAGGTCAGCTACCATCAATAACACGCAAGTTCCCCACTGGAATCAATAGCGGCCTGAAATCTCCTGCCAATGTAAGAGACGAGTATGAGAATCACATCCTGGGGAATGGTAGCCCACCCGGCCTGCAACCCAGAAGCCAACTGCTGCAATGTCTGGGGTTGTGGTTGACGTCGGCGTAGTCGTCTATCCGAATCATCACACAGGTGCTCTATCCGGTTTAAATCCATGGATCTGGAGGGCGCGGGGAGAACATTAATGTTGTTGTTATGAAGACAGGCTCTTGTGATTCGTGCTGTATGCGGTCCTGCTGGAATACACCGTTGGGAGGACGTGTTGCAATTGGGAGGACGTGTGGTTGGAGAATTTCGTTGATGTATGGACGTATGGTTGCCCTGGATATGAACCAAACCTGTCCTGCCATGATAGCCGCCCACATCATAACGCCACCCTCATCAAACATGTCCACTTCCAGTACGCAGTTTCCGGCTTAACGTTCTCCCTGTCTTCTGTAGACCCTTGCTCTTCCATCTCCTCGATGGAGGAGAAATCTTGATTTGTCATAGAACCAGACATCTCTCCATCGCATTTGAGGTCATACCCTGTGTTGACAACACCAATACAGTCGTTGTTAACAACACCAATGCAGTCGTTGTTGATGATGTTGTTGACGATGGTATCGATATCGATGTAATGCGTCTTTCTGCTGCCCTTAAATTGTTTTGTACACTCTGGTCTGAGATTCTGCACAGTCCGGGTATTTGGGATGCGGTTGATGTGGCTGTGGTCGTCCTTTCAGGTGGCGCAGTCGGATGCAGCAGGCGGGGGTGTTGACCCATGCTGTTGAAACCAATCTAATAGCCTTGTGATGGTGCTGGGCACTATATTGAAAACCCTGGCTACAGCTGATCGGGAATCCCCTGCCTGCAAGTGGGCTATGACATTGTTTCTTTGCACTTCTGTTAATCCTGGCATGCTGTTGAACTGATTGACGCAGACACTCATGAAGAGCAACCTCCACGTGGTGGTTATTGGGTAGACCTAATCGCTCTTCCCCCGTGTGGACCCGGGGTAGAATGTGTCCTCAGCACCCGGCCCATTGCTTTTTGTACGAGGCGACTACATTGGGAAGCCCTTTTGCTGTGGGTTGCGCCCCTGTGTCGGTTGAGGACGGGATTTTGGTGGTCGAGGGCACTGGAGCCAGGAACAGGTGTTCCTTTTGCCCAACACACCACTTTGGGTGGAACAAGCCTGACATTACTTCTTGTAGTCTTCATAGCTTTTCATGTCTTTATTTCTGAAGTATAGCATTCAGGCAGCCCTGGTGTTGCAGCCTGGCTTCCACTGCGACACCATCCTTGTTGACATTTGATGGCGGGAGGGAGCAGGGATGTCACATCTTCTTTCTTTCATCATGTCTAACCCACAATCCGCTGATTCTCGTTCCAAAACTAAACGAAGACATGTAGAAACAGATGCTGTTTTATCATCAGATGATGAAAATATCAGACAAATTCCAGGTCCATTGCCACGATTTCTGGTTGTGGAAAGAATAGATGGAAACTCAAGGTCAACCCTTTTGTTATTTCAAAGGCAATAGAGGGAATTTGTGGTAACGTCAAAAACGTCACTCGTCTCCGTAGTGGTTCCATACTGGTAGAATGTGCTGGGAGACAACAATCTATAAATCTGCTCAACGCACATTACTTTGCAAATACAGAGATTGTTGTCTCTGAGCACAGATCACTGAATTTGTGCAAGGGTATTGTACGGGATCATTCCAAATGTCTGTCAGACATGTCTGAGGAGGAAATTGTGGCAGAGCTAAAACCTAAAGGTGTTATCGCAGTTAAACGATTCACCAGCAAAGAACATCACAAGATCATTAAAATCAATACTTACCTTTTCACATTTGCTCTTTGAAACCTCAAAAATCTACCAAAGCCGGCTATTTCAACCTGGGAGTGGATATTCTTGTACCAAGTCCATTCCATTGCTTCAAACGTCAGAGATTTGGACATGGTGCCGGATTCTGTATAAACTCTCCAGTTTGCTCCCGTTTTAGTGAAAAACATGACAGCACCGATTGCACAAATGTTACTAAGGGTGCAAACTGCAATGGTGAGCACATTTCATCTTCGAAATTATGACCGAAGTTTGAAAGAGAAAGGAAAATCGATGCAATAAAGTACACGAATAACATGTCATTTTCTGAGGCTAAGAAACTTGTTGCAGAACTGTCAGCACCAAATCCTTCCTCGAAATCTTCTTCTGCCAGAGCATCCTCTTCTATCTGCAAAGTAGATAATGACTGTCAGACAGCCATATCCTGGGTTTCAGACAAACAGACTCCCTTGTTTTCCATTTGTGAAGAATCTGCTTCTTCTGAAACACAGACAGAGATTCAATTGATCCGTTTGCCTCAGTCGCAAAATAAATCTCTGCCTGAGACACAAAAAGACCCTCTGTCTGAAACACAACCAGAGCCACACCAGGAAGTACACGAATCTACAACAGTCCATTTTGACAAAAAGGGGAAAATTGTTTAGAAAAAAAAAATAAGGGGACTGAAACATGTTGCGGTACAACCTCCATAGAGGTTCATAATCCGTTTGCACATCTGCAGATGGATGTCACTCCACAGCTTATCGGGCGGAGTGGATATTCCCCCAGATCACCTGTTAAACCTCCCTTATTTCTCAAATTTCTACACAGTGGAATTGTAGAGGGCTTTGGTATAATTTTAATGACTTACAGCGTTTAGCTTTTTTAGGTTTAGCTTCTGTTTACCAGAAACCTTCCTCAAAACTACTGATAACTTTGATTTAAGACAGTATGATTCTTACCATTGCTCTTCCCCTTCGGGTGATAAAGCAACTGGAGGATCTTCTGTTATGGTGAGGCAGGGCATCATTCACAGTCCTGTTCCTCTCAATACCCCTCTTCGGGCTGTTGCAGTACGTATAACATTTAACATTGTTTTTACTTTGTGTCCGTTGTATGTACCGCCATCCTATTCTCTTCAACAGTCTGATCACCAGGGACTGTATGACCAGCTCCCCAAAACATGTGTCATCATGGGAGTTTTGAATGATAATAACCCACTTTTGGGGTAGTAATGTCACCAACACTAAAGGAAAATTACTTGAGGATTTTTTCTTAAATAATGATTTATGCCTTTTAGATGATGGTTCTCACATGTATATTCATCCTGCAACTGGAACATACTCTTGTCTGGACTTGTCAGTTGTAGATTCAAGTGTATGTAATGAATTTAAATTGTCTGTCCACGATGACCTCTGTGAACGTGACAATTTTCCTATCATTTTAAAATCTGTTACACCATCTGATGTTCCTCCATAATCACAATGACATTTAACTAAAGCCAACTGGGCATTATATGAAGTCCTTTGTTCTTACAAACAAAAACCTGAAGTTTTTATTGATTTTCCCGACCCAATACAACTTTTCTCTGATGAACTTACTAAAATAGCTGATGAATGTATTCCGAAGTCCTCCTCAGATCCTCACAAACGTAAAACATTGTTCAACATATATGCTAACAAGCTAAAAAAGGGCTGTAAAATATGTCCAACACCATCCAAAGGTCCATAATATCAATAGATTTAAAGTTGTAAATGCTAAAACCCGGCGCAATTTCAAACAAAACAAACGTCAATCTTTGCAAAATTATGTATCCAAGATATATTCACGGACGCCTACGTGCAAGGTATTGATTATGATTCAGAAAATAAAAGGTAAAGGTGCTAAATCAAGCATCCACCATCCCAAAGACTGGAATCAATTGTTAACTGATAAATCAGATATAGCAAATAAACCTGGTCTGTCGGAAAGGCTAGAAAAATGTTTTTTGCCTGTAAAATAAGGATAAAAGATTTAACAGACGTATTGACATATCGACAGTCAGGGCGTCCAGATAATTAACCTTGATGAATCATTCTACTGACTACATGTGGCTATCGGCAGATGGACAAAAAGCTCCCATTGTACTATCAGGTAAAGGTAATCGTGTCATTGTTTTGCACACCGCAACCCATGACAATTCGGTTGAATAAGAAATTCATAAACGACAAGACATGTGCTGGCGGCATTACATTGTCACGTTGTCTTACGTACGCCAGTCAGACATTGTGAGCTCAACCCTGTTTGTACCTATCTTGGCAATGGCTCGTGGCAAGACATAACACAACATTCCAAAGTACAGATTCATATACGTCAGCGGAGATATACATTACCTCAAGATACCATCTGTAGAACAACAAATACTTCTTGATTCCAATACCTCAACCTTCCAATACTCATACCCTTTCATAGCTTTTAACCATTCCTTCGTGTATTCAAGCAAATATAATGCAGTACATATCCTACATTTCTATCCCGTCAACGCACATGTCAATTAAGTTCAACG